TGCTATAGGTCACGGACTTTTCGATTGGCGATACTGACCGAGTTGCCAAGGAAACCGCAGTTTTCAAATACCTCGCAATGGCCGCCAACGCCGATGAAGGCACGGTTTTTCGCGTGAGCAACAGTTTGTGTCACTTTTCGAGAAATGGAGCGTATCTGGCAGTGGCGTTTCAAACGAATCTGCTCGTCAAGGACGCAGCGACTCTCGACACCCGCCAGTCGTTCGTATTCGGGGACGTGATACAGGTTAGTCTGTATCGGCATGAAGGATAAACCTCCGCCACTGTCACTTCTATTAATGCATACGTAATAATCCATACATTTTTACATTACAGTATATGGAATGGTCCTTAAACAGCGAGTACATTGTTTGCGCGAATATCAAAAGAGCTATCGTTCAGGTATACTCGATACGCTGTCCACAGTGGAAATGCAAACTTACCGAGGGCAGTGCAGGCCTGCAGAGCGTTAGCTGGGCTCCAGACAGCAGGCACATTTTTACAATAGCAGATTTTAACGTGAGTGTATATTTGTCATGACGTTTGCACTTTACCATAAAAAGAGGGATGAAAAATTGACCCATTCGTGCTGGTGTAAAACAAAAGATATTTGTAGATTCAAGTATCCGTTTGGAATCTGGAAGAACAGACGGTGTCGTATATACAGAATGTAAAATCCTCTTCCTTTGACAAGGTACACTTTAGTCCCGACGGTAAGAGATTGGCAGCGATAGTCACGGAAGAAGGCCAAGACACAGTGGAAATTTACAAAACCGAGAACTGGAAAATAAGCAGAGTAAGTGCCGCCGATACATACAGCCTTGGTTAAACATATTTGCCATCTATGTGAAACCTCAGTGACTTCAAATTTGTTTTATTTTTCTTTCTCAAAAAGTATTTCAAACGTTTAGCTAAATTAAATTCGCAAATTTTTGGCCTTTTTATAGCAAAATAATATTCTTTAAAGTCACTGTGAGTTGGAGATTATTGAGCAATGTGCACACTTGAAGCAGCCGCAGTAAACTGAATACAAGCAAAATTCAAGTTTACTACTATAAACGTTTCGAGACTTGTCCTTGCATGTTTATGATGCTTCGTTTAGGTTCAGTTACGTAACAATATGCAAAATAGTTGATTAGAATAGAAGTTAAATTTCTAAGAACTGAAGGGGTGGCAAATACTTTTGGCCAAGGCTGTTGAGGCCAAGATTATTGTTTTCTTACAAATTAGATTAATTTATAGTAAAAATAAAAGGATTTAGGCTGAGAGTCAAACGCGATTATTAGTGCGTGTCAATCCAATGTAATTGATCAAATACAATTCTTGATTAATGAACAATTATATTAGATTGACACGCACTAATAACCACCTTTGACTCTCACAGCCTAAATCCTTTTATTTTTACTTTTCGAAAGTGCAATCACTTGTTAATTATATATTTTTAGATTAATTTATATTTTGTACAAAATTTTTTTCATACAGTGTCATACGAAAAACCAGGTAGAGATGTACGATTCTCATAAAAATTCTCACGATACAGACAACAATGATAGTTCTATATTGTGTATCTTAACAGAATGATCAGAACTGCAACTCGCTAATTGCAGATAGTCTTGTGAGTGATTGCTAGGCCGAAACATGAGTCTTCTCACAGTTAAATGATGAGCCTGGGAGGTATCTAGCAGTTTCAACTGCGTACTCTCCTTTGATTCTAGGTTGACTTTTCGTATTTCTATGCACCCTGTCTCGTATCCGATAGCCAGAAGATAGGATCCTTCTTTCGTGTAGCTTGACGTAAAGCATAACGCTGTAACCGACTGGTTTTGCGTGTCTACGATCAGTAGCGGCGCGATATTATTTTCTATCGTGCTTATGGGCCAAATGGCGATCTTCCCGTCTCTGGATCCAGTCGCGAAGTAACCCGAGTTCTGCGTCCAAGCGCAGCACCAGATGATCCGCGAGTGCGGATTGTTTTGCTTCAAGCTGGCTGCGACTAACTCGTAAACTCCGTCCGTGGTTTTGAACAACGACCACCTCCTGTCTCTCGACACAGACAGCAAGTACCTGTCGTCTGGCGAGAACGCCATCTGCGTCACGGTCAACTGATGGTAGACCAATTGTTGAACTTGTGTCCAGGTGTCGGTGGCCCATAACAAGATCGCAGAGTGTTCCTGAGTGGTCGACTTGCACGCGGTAGCCAGCAATTTTCCGTCGTGCCTCGCTGCCATACAGAATATCTCGTAGCCATGTCCGTAAAGCTTATTCGTTTCCGGCCAAAGGGTATTTTGCATCAGAGCCTCCTCCGTGGGTGGCTCGTACGCGTATCCCGTCGGTGAATTCTCATCGTTTTCTTCATACATCGCTTTGTTCGTTAATCCGAGAGAGGGTACAGCGGCACTGCGGGCCTTGACGGACTCGAAATCCTCGACATTCGTCAGCGACTTCAATTGGTTCCTAAACGCAGACGTGGCCGTGAAAATGCGCACCACCTTCTCATCCGCCCCGGAAACGTACGTGTGGGGCGCCAGAATAGCCAAACAGGTCATGTCGTATCCGTGTATCTGAGGACGCGCGATCTCGTGCCACAGTTCCTCGAGATCGTCCCCTTTCCACGGCGCATGAATTCTTGTGGTTTGGTCGGCACTGGCTGTGATGAGAAATCTGCAAGGTATCGTCATAATTAAACAATAAAATTCACAAGGCATTTAGTCTACGGAAGCCTACAGAAAATCATTGTACACGCGAATGAAACTTATATACGGACCTTCCTTTCGGTTCCCAGCACAAGTCGACCACTTGAGAGAAGTGGCCGCCGGGTGCAGGACGTGGAAGCCACCGAGTCACATCCTGAGAATATTTCCAGATGTGGAAGGAGCCCTGGTAACCATGCGCCAATATGTGTAGTCCGTCCGGGCCGAACTTGCAGCCGTAGAAGCCCATGGAATTACCGCCGACTACTCCGACACGCACCGCCTCCGTCCACATTCCGTTCATGATCTCGGCTGGCTCCCACACGATCATAGTTTTGTCGATCGAGGAGGACAGCAGTCTCATCGTTTCGCAGTCGTCCGTTTTCACAGGCTGCCAGTGCACACCGTAAACCCAGTCTTCGTGTCCGCGGAGCACGGACTCCAGAGTGACGTTGTACTGCCTGTCGCCCGCTGTAAAATAATCCCTCTCCAGTTGAAGCTCGTCGCTCGACGACTCCTCGACGGTCTCGCTGATCCTCCACAATCGAATCATGCTGTCCTTCGAGCCCGTCGCGAGGAAGAGATTGTCGTCGCCGTCCTGTGCAAAGTCCATGCACACCACCCAGTCCTCGTGCCCGACTAAACGCTGGACCTGCACGAAAAGTGGCTCCACTTGGGATCCCGCGTCGAGTCTCGCGGTATACAGCAAAGTAGAGGCGTCCTCTAACGCTACGGCCAGAAGGGGACACGTGCTGTTCGGCAGACGCGTCAGACGGCAGTGCAGCGGTAACTTCCTTCCGAAATCTATAGTCTGAACGTGCTTGGCGTCCATGTCTCCCTCTCTCAGCCACAGTTGCACGGCGCCGCTGATCGAGCCCGCGCATATCAGCAGCCTCGCCGACGCGGCGGACAACCAGAGGGAATCGGCGAAGGCAACCTTGCTCCCCACGTTCAACACCGAGGTGCAGCGGAACCCGTTCTCGCCGTCTCCGCTCCAGATGACGGCGGTACCGTCCACGGAGCCGGACAGCAGCTCCGTCTCCGGCGCGCCGTCGCCCGGCTTGATCCAGTGCACTGTGTTTACGTGGTCGCGATGCCGGTGCAGCGTGTGCGTCACGCGGCCGATGTGCGCGCGTGGCTCGTACACGGCGACCGCGTTTCGCGTCCCGAAGCACAGCAATCCATTGGTGCCCCAGTCGGCGCAGTGAGGGACGCGGTTGCACGAGCAGGCGGTGTAACAGCACGACGTCATGTCGCTGGGATATTGTCTCGCGAGAGCTCTTCGAGTATTCGCGCGGTCACCACACGGCGGCGACCATCTTTCAACACGTGTGCGCAACGAGGATGCACCCCGATGTCTGCTCTCTGCAGTTGGGACTTTTGTACTTTCCCTCCCCTCTCGCTCCGCACACGACTCTCGCGTTTTAAGCGCGGAAAATACAACTTACCGCAGCCGTGACTTGGGTTAGCGTGCTCGAAACACTTTAGTTAATGGCAGGCGAGAAATGAGGTTAGGTCTGTTCTTTATAGCTGAACTAACGGCATTGGTGCAGTCAGTTCAGCTATAAACAACAGATTTCTTCTCTTCTTTCCAACGTACAGGAAAAAGGAAGAAAGATGAATAGTGCAAGAAGTTGAGAGTATATCTTTCTTCTTCGAATGTAGAGGAAAGAAGATGAAACTCTGATATCAGTGCAGCCGGTTCAGCTAAAGAGAACAGATAGTGCGCAAGCTACACCTGCTTCGAGGCGCGAAATAACGAATCGACGAATTGTTTCAGAAACTGATCTGCGATCGTCTACGCGGCATCGACGGGATTCGCTGGTCGCCGAACGATGAATTGTTGTGCATATGGTGCTCCTCTGCCGCCGAACCTAAGCTGGTCGTTTATTCCACCGCGCTGGAGAAACACGTGGCGGCGTTTGCCCCGCTGGAAGCAGCACAGCCGTCCGAGGTGTCCAACCACGGGAAGGAACTGAGAGGAATTGAAAATGTCGAGTGGATCTCCAGCGGGCAGTTGTTGGCTGTAATCGGATTCAACGAAGTGGTCATTATTTTTATTATTAATTCATATATATTTTATAATTTTAATATATTTTGTTATTAATATTATTTGACAGTGGTTTATCCCTCTTGTTCACCTTTGTGCTATGCTATCTGGGTTGTTCCGCTTTCGTTGCGCATATTTACGACCCGTTTATAAACCCATGTTCCAGGTCGTCCTTCTTAATTACGTCACGTGGCAACCGTTGTCAAAGTTATATCTGGATCCGGTAATCAGGGAATGTAATTACTTAACGAAAGTATACAAGGAGTGCGCCGATTCGGAGAAAGTCTCGAACAAACGCTTCGCGTCCTGCGAGGAACGCGTTTGTAAGTGAACGATATATGTCGAGTTCAAGTTTGTCACGTATTGCAAAAACTTTCTAATAATATTCTCAATACAGACATCTCGGGCGCTAAATTTTTTATTTTTATTTCAGTACGCGAGATGCATGAACGGCCCATATGCATTACGATTGGACAGAAGGACAATAACGACAATTTCTCGGTGGCGAGGATCAAACTGTTTGAATTTAGCACATGCGGACAATATTTGGCTCTGAAACACGAGCTTTATCCTACCACGTTGTGGATATGGGACATCTGTACGGACTATCTGGACTATTTGCTGCTTGAAAATTCCATTACAGGTACATCATCGAAAATTCGATCGACTCTCTTTAAATGTTAATGCCCAGTAATTTCATCTTCAGCTATCAAATGGAGTCCCGTTCATCCACGATTGTTCGTGCTCTCCGAGTGTACACGCGTGTACGAGTGGACCCGCAAAGGCGCGAGCCCTGTGCCAATGTCTAAAAATATGTCGGTTGTAGACGCGTATTGGCATCCTTCGGGAGAAAAAGTTGCATTGTGCGGCTATAATAAAGCGATCATTTATGAAATCACAAATACAACTTAATAAATAATAGTTGGATTATAACCCGTGATATATTTTTGCCTAATATAAATAATAGTACATTAATAATATGTTAAAGTATTATCGAGTCTATGGCGGAATATTTTTGAAATAATATATCAATTTTGTATATTTTTATCTTGGCCATACTTAAGTAATTTATGCTGTAAAAAAAGATATTCTGTAATACTTATTATATGTATACATATCTGACAATAAGATTTACAAATATTTTGTATCTTAAAATATAAAAATCTGCAATTTATATTGCATATCTCCGCTCTGTGATCTGATTAAAGATTAATATTTATGGATAGACATCGAACATAGTCGTTACAACGTATATAGATCATCCATCGTCAAGATGTTGCGTGAGAAATAGATAGTAGCAGTTTTCTCTATTCAGGAACGTAGCACTAAGCGGTACATCACATATTCTGTGGTCATTGCCAATTTTTCATTAATATCATAAAATGAAAAGTTACAAACTGATGTAAACTCATACATTTAACTATTAATAACTATGGTAATAATTATAATTTATGCCAATTTATACATTTTACTCTATGCATTTCATTAACATGCATGGAATACCTTCTCTTTTTAATTTTATTTTGCGGAAATTAAAGGGAGAAAATTTTGTGTTATTGCTCTGTATGCAGTTGCCTCTTATCATGTATAAAATTATATGAATTATGAACTTTTTCGCAATCTTTATGTTTTACAAATCGAAGAGATTCGGTGGTGTGGAAAATTAATTCATCCAAACAACTTATATACGGAGAGAATTTCTCTTAAAATTATCCTGAAAATCATCGTGGGACAGCACGGTATTTCGAAGAATTTTTTTAGATTTTACTAGTAAAATGTATGATAAATTTTCTGAAAACTCACAATAAAATTCTTCGAAATGCCGCGATTGACATGATTTTCAGGATAAATTTTAAGAGAAAATTCTCCCCGTGTAGTTTCGCAAAATTGATACCAGAAAGCACACTTCGAACGATTTACTCCATCAATCTCTGAGCGCGGGGAGCACAACGGAAATGGAGTGGCGTCTACTTTACTGTCGGAGAAAGCGAGTATCCGCGAATGGTGACGCGGCCGTCCATTTACGATACATTATACACGGGGAGGATCAAAAGATTCTAAGCGAGCATGATTATGCGCTTTATGTACTGACAAGCAATTCCCCACCCGCGCATGGAGAAAACATATTTTTCAGCGTCGCCTCTCTCGAAGGCGAAGTCGCCCGAGATGTGTCTATAACCGGTACGGGCGTTATCTTTTATTTTATCAATAAAAAGACGACCACTGCGCGAGAACGTCTATCCTTTCTTTCACGGTAATAACCAAAAAGATCGAGAAGATATTCGTCTTACGTTGTCGTGAGCGACGACAAGATGAAAGTGTGTATCCACTGTGGCGAAAACGGGAGATTTTTCCCTCATTTATACACGGAGAGAATTTTCTCTTAAAAGTTACCCTGAAACTCATGTAATCGTGGGACAACATGGCATTTTGAAGAACTCTATGAAAGTTTTTGAAATTTTACCAGTAATTATAGAGGAAAGTCCTCTATTATGAGATAGGTTTCTAATATGAGATAGCAGGCTTTCAACACCCAAATTCAATCACAATCTTTTTTCGCAACGATTACACGATCTAACAATGAATTCTCCACTCAACAGATTTCGCTCCAAGGGCAATCAATTCGTGATGGAATCAACTGAAAATTCCTATTTAACAGAAACCCCGCTATCCCATATTAGGATTCTATCTCATAATAGGGCATTTTACTTATACATTTTACTAGTAAATTGTGTGGTAAAATTTCAGAAAACTCATAAAATTCTTCAAAATTTTATGTTGTCCCACGATTTTCAGGGTAAATTTTAAACGAAAATTCTCTCCGTGTGAAAAACGGAAGCGCTTATTCAATATACAACATTTATCGAACTGCAAACTGTTGCAGGACGAATTTTACAGTTTCGAGTGGTAAATCGAAAGATAATTGTTCGACCCACGCGTAAAATCCGTCGATCGAGCCGACCGAAGTGCCATCGGCCTCGCCGCCGATTATCGCGTGTACATAATCGTAAGAGCGTGCGGCTGGTTTGCGATTAAACCCGTCGCTTTTCCATCGCGTCTAATTATACCATTCTCTCTAACGGATAATTAACCGAGTGGAGCGTGGGGTCTCGAGTCGTTCCCTGCGCGATCCCCGAAATTACGAGTATTAACACGCGTGTACACGCGTTGAAGTCGCCGCGAAGAAGCCGTAAAGGCGACGGAGGGCCAGGATTAGAATTCATTTCCATTTAATTAATTGCTAATATCGGCTCCCCCGCGATCTTTTAACGGCCGCGTCCCTTCGGAATATCTATAATTAGCAAAAACGTGACATTCTTTTCCTCTTTATTCCCCGCACGTTACCATACGCGAGCGAGCGACGATTTGCTACGCGGCCTCACGTCTACTCAGGGGAGTACATTTCCTACTTTCTCCGCGATCCGCTCGTCGCACGGCTCGTACGTACGTATATTTACCAATCTACTTGCAAACGCCTGTTCAATACCGCTCGCTCGCGCGATAAATCGTGGAAGATTTAGCCACGAGGATCCGTTCGTGCGATCGAAAGGCATACGTGAACGTCTGAACGTCACTCCGCGATAATGCCGCGTGATTTTCACAGATTTATCGCGATGCGACGTGTTGAAAATACTTGCGATTCCATTAAATTTTGCAATTGATACGCTATTTACGCCCTTAACAGCTAAAAACTCTATCGTAGACGCGAATTTCAGGCGGTTCTGCATGTGACAGACAATTATTGTGAATTTTATTATTTTACGGTATCTTTTCTCTTTTTTTTACAAGAGGTAGAAAATTTTGTTGCTTCGTACTAACGACGCTCCCACGGCAATTAGACATTGTTATCGTCGCGAACGAAGGAGCTTCGGTGCTTTCTCGGTGTCGTTTCTCCCGCCGCATACATAAACGTGTACTATCGTTGTAACATGAGCCTCTTTGCCTTCCCCGACCGCCACTTCCTGCACACCGTAAACTGCAGAGAGAGAGAGACTGATAATGTCGCCTCTACAATCTGCACACAATTGTTGCAGCGTGTGTCGTAAAAAAAAGCTCAGCGCAAGATGCTTCGCGAACAATTATCGCGCGCGACCAATTGTTCTTAAAAATTTGCATCATCGACATCGGATCTGCATTCGGTGTTGAAAAGAAAACGCAGAAATCAAATGAAAAGTCAAATGCGCGTGTCAGTAAAACATGTTTTCTCCCGGCTCCGCTTCGTCATTAGCCATCCCGGGATTTTCATCCCAAACCGAGGAGGAACGCGGCAGAAAAAACATCGTGAGAATGACTGTCGATCATGGTGGAAGCGAGGCGATGCACGTGCACACGTTCGTACGTAGCGGCGAACCGCTCACGTTCACTCACGCGTGTTTCGCGCACACACGGTGTTTAGAAAGTCCCGAGCAACGAGAACACCGTCGACGATCGTCGGCGGTGCGGAGGGTACGCCTTGGTACCAGAAGGTAACGTTTGCCGAAGGTAGTGCACGTCGGCCTAGGTGGGGGCATCTCTAAGCTAGCGGTGTCGGCGCTTCCTCGACGCTCACTGCTCGTCGACCCGTCGAGCAATCGAGACCGGGTGGTACCGGACCGGAGAAAAAAAAGAGAGAGAGAGAGAGAGAGTTTTTAAACAATTGTCTATCCGTCGGTCGACCTAGAAAAAGGAAGATACTGACGTCCCGGGTCGTTCGACCGTGCGTTTTGTGCTAAACGGATTAAGCCGAATCGGGAAGATGGAGAAAGAACAGTCGGACTCCCTGGCGACTGTCGCTGTCATCTCGGAGAAGATGCCGCAGACTCACAGCCACTATGCGCCAAGCGAGGTCTACTCCACCACCGAGCCACCACCGGTAAGCTTCAACATATAAATTAGAAGCGGTCCGAAGGGTTCCAGACCTCATGGATCAGCTGTCATTTATTTGCTCTTCGATCAACTTGGAATTAACTTGTTTTCTTAGCGGAAGAAATTAGGGAGATCATCATTTGTCGCAAAAACTTCCAATTTTCGACATCACATACTTATATATATATATATTTGTTAATTTTCAAGTTACACTTCTGTTAAAGCCAAGTTTATCTGAGCAACTCTAGGATAAAAATGAGATTTCTACTGTTTATTTGTATATTTAAAACTACCGAGAATTGTTTTGCTCCTGTCACTCAATATTATTCATTTAATATTTTGCCACGAAAAAACGTTACTCTTTTATTAAAAAATTCGCAAGTAAAATCGATGATCCGTTAAGACAAGGAGAACATCCTACTTAGAACATCCTACATTTCCCATAGCTCGATTGCACGGACATAAAAACAATCTCTAAGTTTGTTTAATTGGAATCAACACTTTTCTCTGCAGGAAAAGTATCGTAAAAATTTAATGTTAATGTATAAATGTAAAAAACAATTTGGTCATGTCTAACACATAAATTCTGTCAAACAATATTTTAACCTTAGATAGTTTGCTGGTAAATCTTGGACATATATTTCTTCCTACTAAAATGTCTCGTAACATGTATAACAGGTTCTATATCTTTATAAGATTTATATTAATAAATAGAGTTTTGAATAATCTATACGTGGAAAAGTAAGTTAAAGCGTAAAGCTAAAGTTATATGTCGCAGCAAAGTTATTGCATTTTTATTCTAGCACAAATTTTACTGCATTCATAAAATATTACTACTGTATAAAAAATAAAATAAATGTAAAAAGGAAATGTTTTTAAAGTCATTTCTATTGCTCCATTTATAGAATGGTGTTTTTTTTAAGTATTTAAATTTAGAAAGTTTTTATGTATGTAACTTAAAAACATACTTTTATCATATTTAAATGATTATAATGAGTGACCCGTGTTTCTTTCTCTACTTTCAACCAAATAATTTTCAATAGCAATTGAAACGATAGCCTTTCTATATGTAAAAAGAATGCTACAAAATAAAACACGACTGTTCGACTTGATATAAAGCCACTCATCAAGCAATTACGAGGACTAGAACGGCGGATAATTTTGTACACGTGCGATTGTTCCTGAATAGAGAAATAGCACATAATGGCGAGTAGAGTGTAGAAGTAATCGCAATTCGGAAAACGGCATTCTATCATAATTGAACATCAGCCACTATAATGAGAAAGTTACAACAAAGAAATTGCTCGTAGATTTCTCAGGGTATCCTTTGTTTGCCGGATGATCCACACAATTTTACTCGCGTTTGCATAATTATATCCCTATCATTATCAATGGTGATGACAATCGATCGGTTTCTTATCAACGTCCCCTCGAAAATATAATTAAATTTTTAATATATAAATGAATGGTTTTAGCAACTTTTAGATTAAAAAACTCTAGTAATTTAGCATACATATATTTTTCGCTGTAAACATTTTTATGCAAATTTACCATACAATAAACATAAACGTTAAATCACAGGAAGAAACATTCACCAAATATTACGATGAAATATTCGCTATTATCACAATTATATTATTGCTTTTTTTTCAATATAATATACAAGATATCCTGCTCCGTTAAAACTGAAATGACGCCATGAAATAGTATTACGTGACACGCATAATTCTTTCGGCTGCTATTTCACGAGTCGATGATTTGAATACAAGCAATTGGAATGCAAATATAGCGTTTCACCAATTGATATCGCTGGTATTACGTAATGCACCCGCGGAGCCTTCGAGACGCATTTTAAGTCGATATAAGTGAAATTTGATTGTTCGAAAATAAGGTCAGTGTCGGAAAATTACCGTCGTAGGGATTGCATAGACTTAGTTGTCCAGTGTGTAAAAAAATGTGAAGATAACGTATGTACAAGGTTCAATCTAGCAGCGATACAGCATAAAAAGATGTATGGAAAGATTTCTGAAGGACGGAAGTCGGGTATACTCGTACATATAAAGGAAAGACCGTTCAGACAAATAAAGCGATTTTCCTAGAAAATGCGCTAATGATTCATGCAAGATAGAATAAAAGAAGCAACTTAATGCAGCGTAAAACATAGCAAATGGCCTGTAACCTTATTATTATTGTTACCACAAAGTACACATCGTTGATGGATAGCACTTTTTTTGCACCTTTTTCTTTTAACAATCCATACTAATCTCTCTTTATAAAACAGGTTAAAAATAATCGATGACAAATACTAAAGAATTAATAAGAAAAATTTAAGATATCAAGTATATATTATAAGAATTTTCGAAATAAGCGTTTAAGATAAATATATGTTTATTCAGTGATGCAATACAGAATTGTGTGCTGTTCCTTATTTTCTATTTCTGCGAAATGTGTATCATTGCGTGTACTTGTTTACTTATCGAAAAATTTATTCTTCTTCAAGAGTATTAAGGATCGTGCCAACGAAGATAATACGAAGTTTGTGGCACGTTCGTTAAACAAGAAAAACGGCGAGGATTTAATTACAGTAATTACAATGGTAGTGTGTGACTCTTAATACATATTTACAGCGAAAAGTATCCTCCGCGACGCGTGCACTTCCGCCGTGGAAATCGTGATCGTGTCATCATTAAAGATGGATGCTTAATTGGCTAACGAGAGAGTTTGAGAAAAGGCTACTCGTCTAAAAACTATAAATGCGACACACATCCTTTCTGAGAATATTTGACTTCCTGTCTGCCGTCATACTATCATGAATATGCATGTCTGATAAAAATTGTGGAGAAAGAATATTTGTATGAGAAAACAAATCTATTACATTTATATCTTTATTTCTTTATTCATAACATAATTAACATTAAATAATTAAACTTTCATTAATGGCCAGTTATTATTATAAAACATTTTTCATTTAAGAATATGAATTGTTAAAATTATGAAAGCAATCTGAAATTAATAACATGGATCCGCTCTTATCAATTGTATATAATTGAACGAAGAGGAGCATTTTGTCTACCCAAAAAAGTCACATTCATTATTGTGAAAACGATCATTTACTGCGTAAGATACCGTTCGAATAATAAAAGGAGAACGATTAAACGTCGCAAAAAAATCCAAGAAATCAAATAAAAAGTTTTGAAACTCATTGATGATGCACATTCTCTTCGTGCCATGCTTATAAACTCCTTGAATGAGCCTTGAATGCCGAAAAATTCAGCGACGTCAAGTCGTTTTATTCTTTTATAAATACAGACACATATGCAATCACACACAGATATGCAGATGCAGATTCAGCGAAACACATTTGGCGAAATTAGCGGATATAAGCATAAAAAATCGATAAAATCTAAAAGCAATTTTTTAATTTCGAAAAACAATTTAATGACAGTATAATTTATTATTTACAATTTTCATAAAAACCCGTAAGCACCTAATCATTCTTATAAAAAGCCGTTAAAACTCCATAAATATGTTGCAAGATATCATAATAAATGGATACCATCGTGTATGAGAGAGAAATTAATTTCTTATAATATTTTTATAAATAAATAACTCTATAAATATCTTTTTGGCTACTTCATAGTCAAGATTATGTAAAACATGATACTTGAAACGTCTCACGTTTTATGTTGTCATTGAGCAATCAACAAGACTTAACTTGTGCCTTACGCGTCGAACTTTCCGGAGATTTCAACGCGCGCGTTGGGTGTGGAATATCAATGCCAACGTAACTACACCGATATAGTTACATATGCAATGTCGACTAACATAATAAGCAGTAATGCAATGCAAGGAAATTATATTACCTTACTTTTTATGGATTCAAACCTCTCCTCCATAAAACAGAAGGCTATTTCCGTCTATACCGTCAGCAACAATGATTGCTCCATCGCGCGTATCGCCGGCATGTGACAGTGAAGAGAAAGAGAGAGGAAGATTACGTTTTTTCATTATATAAATTTCATTATATAAATTCATTAATATTACATACTGAGAGACAAATTAATCGCACCTGATTCGATTTTCTTTATGACATACTCAAAATTTATGTCTCAAAATTGTCACATTATTTTGTACCGTTATATTATTTTGTGACACAACGTATATAGTCCTGTACATCATGTATAAATTATAAACGATTTCATAGTGTAATGTACCAGTTATATAAAAAATTATAATGTAATTTTATACTTTTTTTTTTCTTATCAATCTGACTGATGAATAAAATATTTCGGTTAAAGCTTACGCTCGGCATTCTGAGCGTCCTCGCATTTTTGCTTCTCTTGCACATTATTGGCATTTACTTTTTCGCACGTGTACGCGTAATGAACAAACACAGAGTCCACGGTTACGTAAAATAAACCGAACTTTGATGCTTGTGAAAATATGAGATTCAAGCCGGAGATTTTTTCGTAATCCTCGATTGTTTCTTCCAATAAAAATGTTTACTTTTATTACTTTTATTTATCCACTTTTATTTACTTGTCGATAATGCTGAACGTATATCAAAATTTTTTATAAAAAACCGAGATAAATAAAAAATATTGAAAAAAAGGAAGAAAAAGCTTTGCCGAAAAAGTTGAAAACTAAAATATTGAAATATCGAAATGGTGTACAGTGTAGAACAAAGTTTTCTTGCCTTTCTTTCGTGTTATGTCCATCATGTTCATCGAACGCGAAACAAAAGAAATGTCCGCAGGCGTTCAACGGTTTAAGGAGGTTAATAATAGCTGGAAACGTTGCTTTCCTTCGTTAATTCCAAGCGTGCAACGTCCATTCTGCACTAGTATGTATATTAGGGAGAAAGTGCAAAGCGCGTTATCGATGTCTTAAATCATATGTCGTGGGAACTAACCGGTTTGGAAATAGCTGTCAAATATGTTTAACGGTTTTTCAGAGCGTAATGTGCACTCTTCTATTTTCTCCTTTTCGTTATCAAATAAATTTAAAATATATAACTTGTCGCGTGCTGTTATCCTATAAATTCAACTTATATAAATCATTATTCACGGCTGAACCTCTTGGCGAAATTAACTCAGACTGCCGCGCCTAGTAATCCTTCTCGAACCAGTTCGCGATGATCAATCAGTGTTCCGGAACGCTCTCCATGGATTCGCCGGGTAGATGTCAATGACTCGCAAGTAATGGACAGACCAAGAAATTTATCTTAAAGGACAAATAATAATTTTTTCGTCTCGAGCGCCTGGCAACAGTTTACTTTTGTCAGGAGGATCGCGCAGCATAAAGCCCAGCCTCGGATGGCCTACTATCTCTTGGAAGCCTCTCACCCGAGTCGTCCATCCACATCGAGGTCATTACGAATTATATGTACAAGTACAGTCCGTGGTGCAAGTCTCTCATCTTCCTAGAGAGAAATTTGTATCCCCGAAAATCAAAGCCCGGCATACAAGTTGACCTCCACATAAAAATATTCGACACAGATCGTGAATTTAATCGTGAATAAAAAAAACGGATAGAGCAAAAAATTCTTTTATGCCGAAATCAGCGCGCAGCGTCCGGTATAATTTGATCTGCACATAAAAATATTCGACACAGATCGTGAATTTAATCGTGAATGAAAAACGGATGGAGGTAAAAATTCTTTTATATTCCGAAATCAGCGCGCAGCGTAACATCCATTTCGATATACTTTCCAAATGCGTAATTATATTGTACGATACATACTGGTCAAACATAATCGACGAATTAAGTGTCGTAATTCGCGTAAAATAGCGGCAAGTGTCTATGATCTACAAAAGCGTCGGGCGTCGAAACGGGTTCGGGTCGCGCTATAATAATGTCAAGGTACAGTTAGCACGCGTCAGATGTATTTTATCGCGCTTACTCCCGGGGCTCTCGAAGGAGTTAAATGACGACGCGGTAGTTTATTTTCAGCTGTCGTTAATTTGCTCGACTGCGATACACGTCATTCGATAGCTGGGTACACACAGTCGTACATTACTTAAATATACATTTATTTATCGTATGAAAAATATTTGACCTGTCCATCTTCTTCACGTGCATGTTTTTTCTCCTACGACGACGAGGAACGATAAAGAAAAATAGGATTTGGTGGATCGTGTGTATATAATCTATTTTTCTTTATCGATCCTCGTCGTTGTACGAAACCATCATTTTACATCTTATATATTCATTTTTCTTGACTCATATACTTGGAATCGAGATGATATCGTATACGATAAGATGTGAAGTGACAGTTTCGTACAACTACGAGGATCGATAAAGAAAAATAGATAGGATTTGACGGATCACATGTATATGATCTAGTTTTCTGTATCAATCCTCGTCGTTGTACGAAATACCTTATATATTCATTTCCCTTGACTCACATACTTCGAATCGAGAACATATCGTACGCGATAAGATGTTAAATAACGGTTTCGTACAACTACGAGGATCGATAAAGAAAAATCGATAGGATTTGGTGTACCATACGATATGTTCTCGATCTCAAAGATATGTGAGTCAAGGAAAATGAATATATAAGATGTAAAATGACGGAGACACTTGGGGAACTCATTCACTCGCCAAGGAAAACCGCGCTTCGCGTTTCCACGATATTCAACAAAAGTTCCGGTGAATCAACGAGGTACATTAACATACATACGAGACTTTACATAATCACCTTTCCCCCCCCCCCCTTCTTATCGGGGTAACTAGCGCGGGATCCACGGTGAGGCACAATTTGTTCGTGTTCACGTTCATATGAAGCATGTAACGTGCACGCGTATGCGTGTGTATCTATATCACACCTGTCACAGAGGCGCTGGTATTCCTGTTGAAACACACGCACACACGGACAATAGCACGCGAGATTTCACGCTGGTTAACCAACCGAGTCGAGGCCTTTTGTCGTTTCACGCTCTCCTTTGACGTTCTCTTCGCCATTGTCGTTCTTTAAAACTGTTTAATATCAGAAGCGAGAAGTCGCCTAGGAAAGTCAATTTATTCGTCGCCGTTGACGGCATCCCAACGATAAGAAAGAAATAGATGTATTAAATCCTTTTCCCTTCTCTATTCAAATGTTATGACAAGCAAAATCTTCTCCGCAGGCGTACATGAGACCGCCGATGAAAAGCACGGCGGTGCAGATCGCCAGGATCGCCGGTATTACTCTGATCACGATGTCGGTCGTGCTCGGTAGCTTTATCCTGGCGGCGTCCTGGGTCCAGGCTAGAGCTTCCTGCACGCCGGAAGCGATCGCAGCGATGCAGGCCGAGTTGAAGCTTCAACAGCAGCAGGCCTACGGGTCGTATCAGCCGCAGGGTGAATTCCTCAAGCATTTGCAGCCGGAGGCTCTGGTGCAGGTGAGACTGTGCAAAAAATATAATAGAATGCAATGCGAGAACACGTCTTACCGTAAAATCTATCTGCATCGTCCGTAAAAAGGAAACGGGACGAGTAATAAACGTGCTGGAACATACTTTCGCATATAATTCGTATCTTGCGCGGTAGAATATATAACTATCGTTATATCGAACATTTGCCTTTCTTTCGCAATGTCTGAGATTTCCAACAAGTTGAAAAAGATCGATATATATCTCGTTGTCGTTAGATTGTCAAGCTAATTGACGAGCGCAGCGTTGCGATTGCGAGGAACTCAAGGTAAGTCCACGGAACGGAATAATGATGAAAAAGGGGTAATAGCGATAATAAAACAAGATTCACCGTAACGTTTTCAGTGCCGTTATTCATTGCCTTCGAAAAACGCAGCCGCGTAAACGCACGATTACCGGGGATAACGACCGTCCTTACTGTAGTCGTTATGGAGAAATCGCGTTGACGGTCCTGCTAATTTTTCGTAGCAGGGAAAGTGACTGTGCCTGTATCGACCGCGTTAGATTTCTCGTTTAATTGTTAAGCGAATTAAATTCCCTCGTTCGTGGTGTAAAAAACAGCGGAGCCGACGCCGCAGCTTTCAGCTTGTTATGTTCACGGTGGTGGTTTCCACGGAGATTTCTAAATTTTCACGTCGCGGCGGCGTTCGACGGATCGTAGAAGGAATCGATCGACAGAGTTGTACAAGAGATCGACGGGTCGCCTCGAACGAACCCGTGATTTAGCTCTTTACGATCGAAAGTGAAAAAGGGAGTTAGTGCGACGCCGCTAATATAATTAACATTCGTCTTCACGCTCGGTAAAAACGCAAATTTGCTTCGGCAGGCGGCTAAGAAACGCTCTAATGCAATATACATATATAATGAGAACAAATGGCATGTACGGGAATCTGCGTTTCGGATATCCTTTTCTCTTTACAAAACCTTGTCCTGATGGCACATGCACTGAAAACAAATTGTTCGCCACCGTAGCTAAGCATAGTTTGCTCAAAATATTTTGCTGCCACAACTATAGGTAAATTTCTAAATCACAGTAAACGCTTTGCTGTCGCACCTAATACAATAGGCACAGCAGCCATGTTTTACAACTGAAATTTAGTTGCCACACGCAGTTTTTCTCAAATTTTCGCCAGGTCCCATTATTTTGCGCACAAAATACTTCCACTTTAGAATGAAACTGTCCAACAAGGGGACTATACGACGTTCTGATCTTCGATTTCGACCAAATTATTTTTATGTGTAGTATTCAATATAAAACTAAATTGGGCAAAACTAAATTGTAAGCTTTTAATTTAAATTTTCTGCCAAGATAAAGTTTATTGATCGATTGCACATCTTGAATAATTGTACTGCGATTCGAAGAGTAGTTACCGTTATATAAGTCGGACTATCACTGAGAGGACAAAGTAAGTGGAATCGCTTCTCACGGCGCTCGGAAAGAAGGAATCGCGTCTGATTTATCGTAGTCACGTTTGTCTTCGTGACACTCGCCTTGTTAATCATAACGTTTATTGCATTTGCCACGATTTGTCATTGATTCCCTCAATCGCTCCATAAAATACGATTTACAGCTCTGTGGATATAGCTGCAGGTATAATCGGAACTTCCAGCAGTCGGTTATTGCAGCAAGAGTTCGTCGAGAAATTCTTCTTGTTAACGAGGAAATAATAATGCCTGTCTCCGAGAAAATGGCGTTTCGATCGAAAAGTCAACAGAAATTGTTAGCTTGCATCACGATGGAAATAAAATATGTGTAGCGAGTATGATCGCAGTGCGAAATCTCCCTCGGGAAGTAATTACAAAAGTATCGCATGAGTGATTTGTGAATGAAAATTGCGTAAGGTAATTAACGAGTAGTTTTTTATCAATGTACTCCGTGTAGACGCATTTATCTTAAATTCACTGTCGATATTCTTGCTGTCAGTTCTTGCAGAAGAACTACCGCGTCGTATTTGCAAACGAAATCATATCTCTGGGTGCGGTGCAATTAAACGTAGGAAGCTAATTTCCTAGCAAAACAGTGGATTTTCCTGTTTATTCCAGCTGTCTGCGTGAAATATAATTTCTTGGAAAATTACAAAGCAATTGATTCTCAGTCACAATATTCCGTCTTCCGTTTCTCCGATTGTTTTCCTTCGCTTCTATTATATGTTTATGCAACTGCAGGAAACAAATAATTATACAAACTTCACCCGTTTGTCAATTGTCATTGATTCCCGCGTCCGACGAAGCGAACTGAACACGTCTTACCGACACACAGTGAAAATCACGAATGGTCGGATGCTAATGAATGAACTGGCATAAAATATCGCAAATTTAGAAAGCGTAGAGTTATTTACAACTCTGTTCTTCATCGAGAAGAGAGAGAGAGAGAGAGAGAGAGGGGGGGGCGCGAGCATCTTGCAAGCGCGCGCTTGAATTAACACGCGAATTGCAATTGTCGGCGGATTGTTGGACGTAATAAAAATATTCCCATAACCGCGCGCGAATTTTCTGAGAAAGTATCACGCCACGAAACACTTCTCGACGAAACGGTGCTCCGGTGCGACGTTATGCACAGTCGGGCGTTCATTATGGTCGAAATGGCGAAGTTTCGATAGGAAACGCCAACCGTCCGTTGCATTATTATCGTCTGACTTTATTATATTGCACGCGACGGCGATGCCGCATTGGCTCGTTCGTTTCGGAGAAATTGGGAACGAGCGCCTTACGTAAAGCGAGTATAATAGCGCTTGGGCGCTCAAAACCAGGAAATCAAAGGCATTTCTTCTTACGATTAAAAGACCAAAGTTTCGCAAGAAACACAGTCAACTTGTCCACTTTCTCGGTGTTCATCAAGTACCTGATTTATCTCTATTCTATTATTTATTGAGGCAGAGAGTTGAACCGCGGTGACATTATCGTAAGATATTGTCGGAGTACTCGGAGATTTCAATGCCGCGGCGCAAAGATGTCCTCAACGCTCGGCTCTATGCTTTTGACGACAACGGGTTGCAAGGGTCGGTATGAATTATATTTTTCCTGCGCACAAACGTTTTGCCAAAATGAAGCATCTAGCTCAAAGCGGCACGAGTACTTTATTATAGTACAGCAAGAGAGAGAAAAGTGAAATCTCTATGAGAAAAATTCCACGTTTTGTTTTATCCGTTTCTGCTTGAGATCTCCAAGGTTTAATTCAAGGCCATATTCAGACAAAGCGATTGTTACAATCGTACGTGACAGCAACGGTATCGACGAGTCGTGCGAGAAGAATAAAGCAATGTCGACACATTCAATAGTTATTCATTTTTTAAAGACAAATGTGTCTGTGTACTAAGTAATTAGATTTGTTTATTTGTATCAGGAGAGAGAGAGAGAGAGAGAGAGAAAGAGAAAGAGAGAACGATTCCACCGCAAGCTTCATTAATACTGGACTGCTACGCACAGTTTATTAGCTCCGGAGGATTATTAAAACAGAAATCTTTAAAGAGAAATCACGCTCGTAACATTTCGTCAGACTTTTAGATATTAATAAATGATCAAATTTAAATGTCTCAGATATTGCGCGAGACGTGGACAACTTTTTCTTCGGAGCTCTCGAGTTTATCGCGATGCTCGATGCGCCGCTATATTTTCTCCCTAAATCATGACCGTACCGGAGTACACTTTCGCTGACGAGCACGTACAAATCAGCCCATAAATCCTAGAGAGATTATCTTTCCCTAGCGTCCAGCTGACTGACGGCTGACAAGAAACGCCTGACGCGCGTAAAAAGCGCCATTTTTTTCCACGCATCATAAATCCCCCGCGCCACGATGCGATCTCTCGCCGCGAGCGGAAAGAAGCGGCGGGAACGTGCCGGTACGTAGACAACGGCGATTAATTCCGGCGAGCTGAAGAGTGCCAGCCCCGCTGTAAAGAACGGACTTTCGAAGAGGCACGCTCCGGTCGTCCGTGAGCATTAAACGCAGAAAACGAAACGCAAAGAAACGCTCGGCGCGAAGCGGTGCCAGGAGCCGCGCGTTCAAGGAGAACCGCAAACGGGGGAATTACGTAATTCGAGCTGCGTTCCTTGTGTGTGATTGCGGTTGTGCACGCGCGGATCGGGCGAGCGAGCCGGCGTTGTGTTTGCAAATTTATAACGATTACCGCTCGCACTTACCATCTCGATCAATCGGCGATTACGGCGATAACGGGTAGCTTTACTCGATTGTAAAAATTCTTTTCATATCTTAATAAGGATCCGACAATCGTCGATAATTAAATAACCCCTCGCTGTTTCGCTCGTAGACCACGTCGGTTTAACTTAAACGGTTAATTCAGATCTTGGTAATTTTCCTCGTCATATATATTTTCTCTAACTTATTTCTCTCATTACACCTAAACTTTTACTTCGCGAGCATTTCGTTTGTCTAATCACGAAAATCCAATATATAGAAGAAAGTCCGCTATTACGAGATAAGTTTCTAATATGGTTTTTTTTTTATTTATTATCGCAACGATTACACAATTTAGTAGCTCTCACCGAGAGTGTCCTGCCACACGTACCCCTTTAAGGATATAGCCCTCCAGATTGGAGGTTTCCTTCGGCAAGGTCAGCAGCCTACCGAAGATGAAGTGAAACCAAATGCTCAAAGTACCAGAACGAACCGGATAAAACAGCCTTTAAGCCTAAGAAGATTACACAATTTAACAGTGCATTTTCCACTAAACAGATTTCGCTTCAAGGGCGAATAAATTCATGGTGGTATCAACTGACGATGCCTATTAATTTAACAGAAACCCTATCTCGTAATAGGGGACTTTCCTCTAATATAGCACGCTCTGCTACGAAATACAGCTCTTTTATTTGACAAGAACAAACAGTGTACACCCGCGTCCGTCTGTGTTCGCACTTGTCGTGAATGCGCCCATCGCGTACGCTCCGTCGCCCATCATTTGATTTCCGTTATACAAAGCCCCCGGAGTACTCGCCAAACAATCGTGAAGCA